TTTCCCCCCCCCCCCCCCCCCAACCCCACCCTGATCTGCTCTCTCTCTCTCTCTCTTTCTCTCTCTCTTTCTCTCTCTCTTTCTCTCTCTCTCTTTTCTTAATAGTTCCCTTGACCAAAAATGTTTTCCGTTCTAAAATCTGTATAAAATTACACTTCATTGTCTGACATATTTGTTTGTGCGGTACGCATTAGGTGTTCAGGAGCAAAAGCATTAACTTTTTTGCCTACAGTGTATCCATCTCTTGCTCATTTCTATGAAAGTGATGTCATATAGCATGAAATCCCCATTAAGCGAAAAGTCTAAGATGCTAGGCACTTATAACAGAAACATTTCCTTGCATGTAAATTTGTTTCTTCATATAGGCTACTTAATGCAGTTCAGTTACTTAATATGGATGAAGAAGAAATTTAAAACTATTTCATTGTTCCGTCTACTTCTTCTTTGCTTTTCCAGTAGTTGGATAATGCCATTCTGCCTGCCTGTATTGTTTTGGTTCCAGGTCAGGTTTCTATTATGTCCGGTTCCCATCTTCTGTTAGGTCTTCGCCTTCCTCTCTTGCCCTCAAACCTTTGCTTCCACTTCATGGTTCTCTGGTGACCCTTGGCGCTTGCTATGCTCAAAGTAGTTCAGTTCCATTACGTTCTGACGGAGTGTTGGTGTTCCTATTCCTATTCTTCTCTGTACTTCTTCCATCTTTGGTTTCTGTGTAAAGAATATTCTAAGAGTTCTATAACATTTCTTTTCCAAAGTTGTAATCCCAGTTCATCTTGTTCATTGATGGCCCATTCTTCGCATCAATAAATTGTGGTAGGAAATAATAATTTACTTGTTGCAATTCTTATTTTAAGATCTTTGCATTGCCCTTTCCAGATGGATGCCATCTTATTCAATTGTGATGTTGCCATTTCAATTCTCATGTTAATCTCTGGGGTTGTTTTCCCTTTTACCCCAATCCAAGCAACGAGATAATCAAAACTGCTCTCACTTTCTGTTCCTTCCCCATCAATTTGTGTTACATCCTCTTCTTTGCATGCATTGTCTGTGTCCATGTTTTGAGTCTTCTTTACATTTTGATGTAGATTAATATTTTTTTAACACTGTGTTCTTTGTCAGGTGTTGCTGATTTCTCTAGTCACCTTGGTGTTATGAAAAGGAGAGCAGCTTTTTGAGACTTAAATTTAAAATATGTCCCAATTGTTCTTAGGGACACAAATATAGCATAATGACTTAAGCAGACCTTTTTATTATTTAAAGAGCGCGCAAATATTTAACACGTTTTCAACAAATATTGTAATAGCATTTACAATTAGTTTTTAAAACTCACAGTTCAACAAATTTTTCTTTTAATGTTTGTTTCTGTGCTGCAGGGTTTCAACTCTTGTATTTTTTTGGGCAGAATATTAGTCAATGTCGTCCAAGTCTTTTCTTTGTCAAGCCATCATCATCTTCATAATCATCATCATCAGCATCATCATCATCAGCAGCATATTAATTTCCCTGGTGTCTTTCTGCTAAGATGCTCTCTCTCTCTCTCTCTCTCTCTCTCTCTCTCTCTCTCTCTCTCTCTCTC